CACCAATTTAATTTTTTTTTCGGATTTTTTCAGAAAATATATGGAGCGACAGGGCGAAATATAAGTTTAAAAAAACAGGCCAAGGCACCCCATGATAGCCGGAAATGTTACGATACATGTATGAGCCATGAAGTGAACATACCAGGCTGGTTTATAATTGAAAGAATAGATTTTGAACTTGTAATGAAACAAAATTGCATTGTTACATTGAAAAACTTCACGAACTAGGAAGAAAAGGACTGTCTTCAACCATTGGGGCCAAAATATGTCTTTCATTGAGCATTTTGCAGTTAATTTAGAACAATTTTTTTTTTTTTGCAAATCAGAAAGAAATGGACAGGGTGATCCAAAAAGCAGCAAATTAAATTGGTGTGGCCTAACTAAAGTCTCCCTAGGATTGAAGATTGAAGTCACCCTTATAATTTTATTTTAGTTTTATATAAATATATTTAAATATATTTTAGTTTAAAAGACTCACATGTATTTATTTCTGGTGACTGGTACTAAAAAAATGTGTGGACATGGCATAGAAGGAAAAGTTGTATGTTGCCAAGGCAAGTTAAGGCCATGTTGATTTAATTATATGGAACCCCAAACTGATACAAATAAAAAAAGTTTGGCAAGAAAAAAAGTTGAATTGCCTTCATTATGAAATCTTCGTGATCATGAAGGTTGATCCGTCATGACAAAACTTAACAAAAAGAGTATGGTATGGCAAATAACAGACTGTATGTTCATCACATTTTATTCTTTGCCTTTGGAATTCATTTGGGCATTCTTTGGCATTAGTAATTGTTTTCCAGTATTTTTGTCGTAATTCATTGCATATATTTGCTCATTTTGCAGCTGCTTTGTACGATTTACATAAATTACAGTATGGTAAAAAAACTTTCTCTTTTTTGGGGGGGGGAATGGACTAAAATTCATGGGCATGCAGAAGTCATCCATATAATGAAATCAACATGGCCTAACAAGATCAGTTAGGCCACAGCAAGTAAATTTTATGGATGACATCCTCCGCAGACTCCAATTCTAATGCGAGCGGGCGAAAAAAAAATAAGGCGGGCCGAAAAAAAAAAGGTTCCTACATTTTAAGATTTCTACTCAATCATTGTACGAATGGTTTTTATTCAGTGGGAACATTCACATATACACAGCCAGCATCACAAACTATCACTGCATCAAAGTAAGAAACAAAACTTAAATCAAAGCCTTTTCTTGTCTCCTCTCTTCATAGTTATCTGCCATCCACCTTCCGGCATGGCATGTCTTTGCCCATTTTCGGCATGTTCACCACTTTCAGAAGGCAACAAAATTTCTTCTTTTTTTTTAAAAATCAGGCGAAAATTAATGCGCGCGCTGATGTCATTCATAAAAATTACTTGCTGTGGCCTTACTTTCAAGTAGATTTTCCCATGACACTTGACACAACTGATGACACCTTACTGATGTTCCTACAGGTCTCTGGGGACTGCCACAGCGCTGTCCTCTGTGTTAGGTGTGACACTGACAGCAGCTATTGGTGGAGCAGACATGCCTGTGGTCATCTCTATGCTAAACAGTTACAGTGGATGGGCGCTGTGTGCTGAAGGTAGGCTCAATGATGGCAGGCACCATTTATAATTTTTTATGATAGCTACATTTTATGGAGACATCTTACCTAGCATGTTTTGGGGCTATTTCAAACGCTTTTGAGCATGAAATGATGATGAAAACGTGCTTTGAAATGGCAGTAAATGTCAATATATTCAGAAAGATTTCTTCATCCGTTTTGGTGCCTTGGATCTGTACTGGATGCTAGTTACATATTACATATTATGCCATCGATACAGTGGATCTCTTTTGTTTCTTAACTGTAGTGTTTTTTCCGCAGGGTTCATGTTACAGAACAGCCTGTTGACGATTGTCGGCACCCTGATCGGATCGTCCGGTGCCATCCTGTCCTACATCATGTGTAAGGCCATGAACCGCTCCCTCACCAACGTCATCTTCGGCGGCCTGGAGGCCAAGACAAAGACTTGGGGAGGTAGGGAGAATCATAAACAAGACTGGCAATGAAAACATACATTGCCATGGCGACGGTGGTTGCTGTTAGGGTTATTGTTTGCATGGCACTGCCATCATGTCATGATTTTGAGGAAGACTTGGTACCAGTTAAGTCTAGACAGATACAGTGCACTCCTCCCCTGAGTGTATAGTGAACAAGCCCCGGGGTCCCAAGGGTTTCCAGGAATGTGGGCATAGATGTGGGTCAGAGACATGCCTGTGGACATTCCGTGCCTGTGGACAAAATGCTGCCTGTACCATTCCTAGAATTTCTGCAAACTGCACACAATACTGTACCAGTAGGCTCCTCCCTGAGACGTCGCCAAAAAATTATGGAAAGACATTCTTCACATTGTATGCTTCTAAACTTTTAGTTAAAACTTTTGTTCCAACACAAAGAAGTGTTCTCACCCAGAGCGTTTGACCAGTCACTCTGGTCTTGTTCAATAGACTGACCCAGTGGGACTTGTCACAAGTGTGATGTTAAAGGTATCACTGGGTTAAAGGTATCTTTTAAACAAGTTTTAACTTTAAAACTGTAACTACCAACATGTAACCATTTGTAGTCCTTTGTACCATCCATATATCCTGCCTTCTAAGCTAAGCTCCAAAGACTTTGGTATGAGATGGATTATGGAGGAGGCGTGGAGATTATTTAAGTCTGCTCATACATGTACATTTGTAATCGTTAAACAGTTTAGGGTATATTATTATTTAGGCACTAAAACTTACAGAACAAAATGGGGCATATTGTAAGCAGCGAATTTGAGCATTTTGCTCAATTTTTGGTGAAACGAAGGTGTAACTGTGATGAACTACATTTGAGAGTGTCTTATCATAAACAGTACAGCAGCTGTATTTGTTTGTATGCATAAATAACAATTCTTACTGTAATTCTTCCTCAGGTGGCAAACCCATGGAGATCACTGGCACTCACACCGAGGTCAACGTGGACCAGTCTGTGGATCTCATCAAGGAATCCAACAACATCATCATCGTTCCCGGCTACGGTCTGTGTGCTGCCAAGGCCCAGTACCCCCTGGCTTCCATGGTGGAAACCCTCACCAAGAAGGGGAAGAACGTCCGCTTCGGTGTCCATCCCGTGGCCGGACGCATGCCCGGTCAGCTGAACGTCCTGCTCGCGGAGGCCGGCGTCCCCTACGACATCGTCTTGGAGATGGACGAGATCAACCACGACTTCAAGGAGACGGACCTGGTGCTGGTGGTGGGCGCCAACGACACGGTGAACTCGGCAGCTCAGGACGACCCCAACTCCGCCATCGCCGGCATGCCCGTCATGGAGGTGTGGAAAGCGGCGAACGTCATCGTCATGAAAAGGACTCTGGGCGTGGGGTACGCCAACGTCGACAACCCGGTATTCTACAAACCCAACACGTCCATGCTGCTCGGAGATGCCAAGAAGACGCTAGAAGGCTTGCAAGGGAAGGTCGCAGATTATTACGCCAGCTAGAGGCCCAAGGGTGATCAAGAAGTCTGCGTGTGTGGGTAGACATAGATGTACATACAATAACTCAATCAGCAACAGAATGTACACACAACAATCAATGTTAGGCCAAAATTCACACACATGCTATACCTAGCCTGTAGTCCAGGACTCAAGGCATCATTGAAATGTACTGTAAAATACAAAAGTCCACCCATAAGTGCATTTTTTAAATCTTTCACGAAATAGTATGATCAATGAAAACAAAAGACAGAAAAGAGACATTTCTATGAACTACTCTTTCTCCAAAAGCTAGATATTCTATTTTTGATTTGTTGATAATTAGACTGATTCTGTTGTATGTCCCTTGAAAAAAGAGTATCATCTTTAACATTTTACTAAAACTCACCAGATACAAATGAAAAAAGAAAATGGGTAACTCTTGGTAATAATGATGCATTAAAACATATCCTGATGAAATATAAGCGTGCTGACACACAATATTATCAAAGGTGTTGTTCTGAGGTGTGAAAAAAGTAATGTTTTTTTGATTGCCATATAGAAAATCATGAGTTTACCATAACCTCAAAGTGTATGAATTTAGACAGTATATTCACTATGCAACAATAACAACCCACCGTGGTCGTTTAATTGTGGTGAACATGAAACATAACACAAGCAGAGCAGTATAATTTAGGGAGTAGCTCAGCTCACTGTATCTGGGATACAAGACCATACTGTAAAAAGGGGAAAACAGGAGAGGTTAAAATAGGTGGGAAATGCATGAAAAAGTGATGATTTTAACATGGAACATCAGGAAAAATTTATGACTTGCGCAATAAACATCAAACAATACATAAAACCTCTCCACAATCAACTCTGGTCAATCCAAAATATGTGTTACTTGATTTATGTAATTGGACATGGAATACTGATGTTTTAGCCATGGGGAACACACATAATAGAAAGATTATCAATGCAGTAACTTTGTTCATGACAGATTTGTTGGTGTAATTTGGAACTTCAAGTGTGTGTGCCAAAAGTAATTCTCAAATGGTGTTGACGACTCAGAAACAGTGAGTAATACTAACAGTTAAACATGGTTGTGCTTAAACACTAGGATGTGCTTGAAGCAACATTTGCTGTTCCATGTTGTGTCTTACTGGTCTGGATAACTGGGATCTCCCAAGTGTGTCTGTTGAAGTGTTTTCTTGCCTCTGAGTGAAAATGGAATAAACTATGGACCTATGACATAGTGTGTCAGATATCATTTTTCTCAGGAGGTAGACTCATTTTTAACTACCTAAGGCCATGTCGATTTGATTATATGGATGACATCCTCCGGGAACCCCAAAACTGATGCGCACGTGCGAATAAAAAAAAAGTTTTGAAAAAAAAAAAGTTGCTTTCACTATGAAATGTACGTGGTCATGAAGGTTGAACAAATGGCACAGAATATGTTATGGCGAATAATCTACTCTTCGAATTCATTTCTTTACATTTTTGTCTTTTTACCTCCGGGGAAGGAGATATCCTTCCGCGAGGAGGTTTTACTATGGTTCGAAACATTTCTGTCAGCAGCTGTTTCTCGCGATCGGCTGGACGGATTTGTCTGTGGTTCGGTATACGTATTGCTATTGGGCTGCAGATGATGCAGAACGTTTTTGTTTAATTGCATATGTGTTTATGGGCGTCGAAATAAAAGGTTTTTAAGTGCTCTGGACACCCCCGCCATGCTGAAAATGGTAATTACCATGTTGTTAAGGAATGGGGCGGTTGCAGTTTTGCGTCTTAGCATTCAAAAGGGGTCAAACAGAGGGGTGTCTGGTTCCGATAAAAATTTTGGGTGACGGCGCAGCAATGACGGCGCGGGATGACGGCGGGGGTAATGGCGCGGGTGACGGTGCAGGCTGTCACGTTAATCAACAGGCCATACCGAACAAACCGTCAGTAGCCATCAAACACATACAAACATATTACGCACATAACTTTCATACTACACACAAACAAATAATCTAAACCAATAGAACACAAAAAACCCGGAGGTTTGAAATCTACGATTTCCCTTG